TCATGGTACACCTTTTCTAATCCTCTTTTACAAAATTGCTCATTTTAAATGTTTTTCTTTCCTTCTAAATTCAGATAGACTTGAGAGACAGAAAAAAAAAATAATTTTGTTGAATTTGCTTTTGCTGTCATGAGAAAAGGCTGGAGCTGATTGATGCTGGAGCAATAAAGAAAAGTTTCCACCTGGAATGGAGGTCTTTGAGAGTCCCTTCAGAGTTCAAAGGGAGTTTAGGCAATTTGGTGCCGAGTCTCATGCCAAATGTATTGATGTAGGTATTTTGAGGCACTTTCAAAACTCAGAAATGCCTTTATTTTTGACAAAGCTAATTCCAAATGACATGCTATCATTCAGTTAATGATACTTCCTGTTTTGGGCCAACTGTTGAGTAGTTATAATTTTTTGAAATGGTATGGCGACTTACAGGACACCCTGTATCTACAATTACCTGACAGGGCAGTAAACTTCTTCCATCCAAGGTGGGTATCCTTGTATTAGGTTGTTGCAAAAGTCCTGTCGGTATTGACAACTTTATTTTCTCAACTTTAGAGCTTTGCAACAAGCGAGGCCTAATCGACCACATATTCGCCATAGTTGCAGAAAGTGGAAGAGAATGCAGTGACGGAGATGGATCTGCGTTGGCGTGAATTTCTCCGAGGCCATGAGAGATGATGGGATGAGTGAGATACAACAGACTGTCCTTATATACCCATACCTACCACCCACTCGCCAGGAATTGTCAAAGCCTGGAAGTCTTAGAACATGTTACATTCAACACCGACAGGACTTTTGCAACAACCTAATATATACAGGGCTGGCCAAAAAAAATTAGCAGCTTTAAATTTTGCTATAAAATTCATATATTTCAATCAATTGACTTGAAAATTTAATCCAATGTTGCCTAATATGTTCCTTAGAACTTGTGAAAGTTTATGTGCCTACAATAACTCATGCTTGAGCTAAAACAGGTTTTGTCAAAATGGTCAAAATTCTGAATGAACAGGGATGCAATTTTTGAGCTCCTGAGATTTTCCTGTTCTCACAATTGGTTTTTGCTTAAAAAGTCAGTTCTTTCGGATGGATCATCATGAAAACTTAACAGGACATTGTCATGTGTATTTTTTAGAATCTGAAAATGTGATGCATGTGCATAAAGTTTCAGGCATTTCCATGCAAATTTATGACATTTTCAGGGCTTGGCACATGAGGCATACTGAAAAAACTTTTAAAATCCTGCCTCTCTTTGTTTTATGATGTTGCAGGATAGGTCAAGAGCATAATTTTTTTTACAGATGTGAACTCTATGTTATGTGTTGAAGAGTGGTAATTTACTCCGTTGCTCTGCCTTGTCACATGGTGTGGGATGGTGTGGGAACAATATGCCTCTTCTATAGTGAGGTGTGGGAATTGTCCAAGATGGTAAAAACCTGCTGGGAAATGAATATCTGGAGGGGAAGGCCAGTCAATTTTAGGCAGAGATCCAAGGTCTTGGAGATCAAAGGACCTCATTGTAATGTTGAACTCGGTTATAACAACCTCAGTTATAACAAAACCTTGGTTATAATGACGAAAGCGCCAGGTCCCGGCGTAGAGCCCATAAGACACTTTACATTTTACCTCGGTTATAGCGAAGTCTATTGAAGGTCCCACAGACGAAATTGACAATGTTCATGTCCCTAATCCGTCATTCCTAACTGAAATTTCTGTCATCTGAAAAATTAGCGTTGGCGAGCCATGACTTTATATTTGCTGGATTCGGCATTCCTTGAGAGCCATGTGGGTGTGGCTGGAGCAATGTTAGGGAGGGATAATCCCCAGTAAGTAAGATTACCTTATCTTCAGTCGCCATTTGCATTTCTCATTGACAACATGGCCAATGGAAAATGAAAGAGGCAAGCCTTCACGATTGAAAGGAAAGTGTGCTTGATTAGTTTAATAGAATGAGCTCGAAGTGAAGCTAACGTCTCTCACGAACGTGGACATCTGTTCATCTGTTTCCACAATTTGGGAAAATCATGACAGCTTCATCTGTGCTTACAAGAACATGTCACAAAACAATAAACTTCCTAGGTCTGTTGAGATGACATCGACGAAGCCTTGCTAAAGTATAAAGTAGTTCAAGGTCCAAAGATGTGTGAACATCAAAATTAGTGGGTCAATCTTGAAACTGAAGCTAGTGCAATATGACCAATGTAAACTGGAGTTGTAACGTTATATAGCATCAATTTTGAAAACAGGAAAACGGAGTCCCTATAAAGGCAACCTCAGTTATAACTACGGTTTTTACCTGGTCCCTTCGATGACGTTATAACCGAGTTTGACTGTACATTGCAATGAAGGGGTATGGAACTCCGTCAGGTGGATATAAATGTCAATTCTTCAAAGCAGTAGATGACATAATGTCTTCAGAAGGGTTGTTGTATTGGTAGATGTTGAAGATGGTTCAGTTGAAAGAAGCTACTGAAGATAGCATGGATTATTAAGTTTTGTAAGTATTGGGTCATATTGCTTCAGGCTTGATATACGAAACTGATTGTGTTGCTGGAGAAAGGGAATCTCTGGGAAAACAGTTGAGAGAGTATTCACAATTTGAGAGTTATTGTTCTGAAACTAAATACACCCATATACAGGGTCTTCAAAAAAGGATGCTCTATTTTGATGAATTTATATTTACCTAAGTATATGGCATTTCAAGTTTTACAGCACATCATTGTTTGCATGGAAATTGGAAGTTTTTTTCATGCAAACACATTCTCAATGTGAGAGCCTTCAATTTGGAGCACCCTTTAATGGTGTTCTCAAGTGTTTTCCATAACCCATTGGTAACATTTAGTAAGCATCTCCTGGCTGATGCTCTCCACAACTGATGTGATTTCCGTTTTCAGTTCTGCAATTGTGCATGGTGTGTTTCTGTAGACGTTCTTGAGGAATTTCTATAAGAAGGAATCGCAAGGATTGAGGTCAGGAGAGTATGGTGGCCAAAACCATCCACACCCAAAATGGCCAGGAAATCTATTTGAGATAACCTCAATCATTGAAGTGTTCATGAATTATTTCACCAGTCACATTATTGCAGATCTGCTTGGGGCTTTCCTTGCTCCAAATTGTACTTTGTAATCATGTTGCACTTGCACAACACTGTTTGAAAATAACACTTCACAATAAGCACACGTTGACCTGTAGAATATGCCATCTTCAAAAATGTCAACTATAGTTCTAAAAATCTCCAGGGGCGCCAGTGCAATTTTGCAATGGTGCAATCTTCTAAGTTTTAACTCCAGCCCCTGTCATATATGACTTAAGCAATATAGAGTGTCCTTCAAGGACCCTGTATTTGAGGAAGAAATCGACTCTAGGGTATTTTCTGACACTTCTGAGACTTCCACTCTTGTATGGCTTGCATCTAGTTAAATTTCAGTTCATCCTTCAAGTCAAATGTGCTTGATGTTCTGATAAAGTTTCTTGTGTTTTGGTATTGCTAATTTGCTTATAATTTTATTTCTCCCCAACCAGGTAGTGTATCAAAGCAGATGGGTGTCCCTGCTTCCATTGAAAAGCCTGATATAGCTGACCAAAAGGAAGAATCTCTGGAGACTTCACAGGAATCCCCAAATTCAGTATTGTCGTGAATCCTATTAGTCAGTTATTGCTTGGTTTTGATTGCAAGTTTAATTCCCATTTCCAAGATATTGGTTGAGGAACAGGTAGTGGGATTGACCTTTTCCATTTTTCCTTGATCATGACACTTGCAAGAGTCCTCATGTATTGTATGCTGAATGAAAGAAGTCATAGACAAGCTGTCAAATGATGAAGTAATTGTTGCTATTGCAACACAGAATTCCAAATAATAGATGTAAAAAGAAACAGATAAGAACAGAAACTCATGAAGCTTTTATGAGTGCTCAATTTTTTATTTCTTTTTTAGACTGGGATATTGACTGATATAGACTGGGAGTTTTTACCTGCATTATGTCATTTCAGCCTGGAAGAGAAAGAAGGAGGAAGCCAGTCAGTGATCCTTCTATTTTCTTGAAGAGTGAATCAACCTCAAAGTCAAGATACACCAGTACAAGACAGGGTAAGGGAAGCATCTTCATTCAGCCAGTCTAACAGTGCACTCATTGCTGTTATTCATCAGGCTTCAAGCTCAGATTTTATTTTTTTATCACTGTGAATTTGAAGTAGATAACAAAATTATAAAATAGAAAATCAGTTTTCTTTTGGAAATTCATGAACCATTATTCACTTGCTTGCTTGCTCAAAAATGACTTATCACAAATGGTTAGAACATAAACAGAACTAGGTCTAGTGAGTTGTCAGAAGCACTTTTGTATCTTTCTTGATCTTAATCCCCTCCTATAACAGGTGCAGCAGAGTTTATGGCAGGGTCAGTATTCCAGTAATATATTGTCCATATTTAGTCACTTAGCCTTGAATTTTTCCCCTCCAAAGATTCTCCTTTTAATTCTCAACAAAACCATGTTCCTTTATTAACACAGATAATCACCACCATTTTTTTACACACAAATTAAGTGAGCAGTTCAAGTAGAACAACTTTCTAACATAACTTCCAGCCAAATTCGCTTCACAGCCTGTTCCAGTTCATTAATCAGAGTCCCTTTTGGTGTCACATTATCCCACTTGATGATATGGACCAGTTCATCTCAGATGAAATAGTCCAAGGGGTTCAAGTCAGGACTGTTTGGTGGCCAATGGTCTTTGTCGATAACAGAGGGGAAGTTATCTCGATACCATTGTTGGGACAGTTGATGAATGTGTGGCATCGCACCATCGTGTTGAAAGGCCCAGTTGCCACTGAAGACCTGCTAGCCATATTTTAGGTCTACCAGAAGCACTTCTTGCATGCATCGATCATGATTGACCGACCCTTTCTTGAAGACGACCAGCAGTGTCACACCCTTTGAGCATGCCCCGAGCCAGTCCATCACCTTTTAAGGAAATTTTGGTTACTGCTTGATGCAACCCTTCTCATTGACCTAAACATGGTCCACTGCCTATACTCAATCATTTTGGGAGTTGTAAACACCATCAATCTCAAACATCATCTCGGAAAAGAGGATGCACATCATGTCTTCTTTTTAGAAATCATTGTGCACCCAGTTGGCAAACTTCATCCTTTTGGCCTTGTGGTTGTCAGTGAGGAGTGGTTTGACAGTCTTCTTGTAGGGCCAAAGCTGGAGGTCATTCTTAAGGAATTAGATGAATGCTCCGCCCCAAAATGTCGAGTTCACTGTCCAAATTTCAAGCAGACAAGCATTACTTTCGTTTCAACCCACTCTTGAATTTCTGAATGGGTGTCTTCGATCAAGCCATGCATGCACATCCTGAGGGACTTGACAGTTCAATAGAGCCAGTTTCAGAGATCATCTTGCTCCATCATTTGATTGTGTTAAGACTTAGGGCACCATGCAAATCCTGGAAAATTTTCACTCAACCATCTCCATTTATCCATCTTTACTTTTCATGATCTGAAGAAGAAATGCTGCAAGCATATGCAAAAACAAATAAATTGCTTTGTAGAGAATTGAATGGAGAATTATAAAAAAAAGAAGAAAGTTCAAATATAAGTGACAAAAAATGGACGATATATCAATGGAATACTGGCCTCGCCATTTATTCTGCTGCATTTGTTATAATTTCAGTTGTGTTATTTTTTAGCAGATTGGCTGCAATGTAGCAAAATACAGATGTCATTAAGCATCACTGGTGATCCTCATGGCAGCCAATGTGTTGATTTTGTATGCATGATATTTTTTAACATCTGAACTCTTCAGCCCCTTTGTAACTATTTTTCTGGCAGACAGAACTTAAAATCTCCAACCTCCTCCTGGGGGCAATATTTGAGGAAGCATTTGCATCTCAGTGGAAGGGTTAATATGCAGTTGGCTGGTCTCTGCTTGCTGCCCTCTCAATGTCAAGGCAGCTCCTTATCCTTGTATGAATGGTCACAAAGTTCTTTCTAGTCAGGTATGGAGCACTGAGGCCATCAACAGTAAAGGGTTGGCATAGACCAAAATTTGACATTTTATTCTCTACTTTATGAATCTGTCTCTGTGATCTCTTTGATCTCAAGTTTAAATATAGCAAACAGCAATTTAGGCAGCTTTTTTGCTCTCCAATCTTGGATTTTTCTTCATGCTTTAGTGACCTTTCCCATTTCTGCCTGCTTTTCTACTACCCCTCTCTTCCATGTTTTTGCCAGCAAAGTAAATGAAAGGCTTTTTGCTGCACAAATGACAAAACTTGTCTGCAGATGTTTTCATTTGCTTTGTTGCTGATATTGGAATGTGCATACTTATAGGCAAAAAACCAAAGAGTCTTTTCACAAAGTGCTCTTTGCTTGACAATCGAGGAAGGAGAGAAACTAGTGATGACTTATGTACCCTGGCTAAGTATCACTTCTCTGCTGGGCAGACATCATCTGTCAACATGGAAGACTTTCCACATCTGGGTTTATTGGGTGATCGCCAATCTGTGCTTCAAACACTGGCTAGTGAAGGTAAGGAAACTCATTGAACTTTTGTGTCATACTTCATTGAAGTGCATGTTTCTCACCAGTGGGTTACCATGCCTAACAGTGGATGGAGGGGAAGATGGGACCAAGAAGCTTGTGTTTTCCCTTTGGTCTGGTGACTTGAAAGAGCAGATATTGGATATGGCTAAAAGGAAACAACTTGATCAAACAACTGTTTTACTTTCAGCTGTTGTTTCCATACCGTCTGTTTCTCCTGTTTCCTCTAAGATATTTTATGACTTGAGTGAGTTGAGTGTCAATCACTTTTTCCTTCATTTTTTCAGTTTCTATCATGAAATATGTGAGAAGTATGCTGAGTATCTAGAAGGAAAGGAGGACTTCTTTGGAGCATCATCTATGCTGCTAGCTGCCAATAAGGTTCAGCTATCAATACTGTATATGCTTCCTTTAATAACAGTATTCCTTTTGTAGAAAAATTAAACATTGTCATTCTGTGCAGGTGCTTGAAGCCATTGCATTACTGGAGCGTCATGGATATTTTCGAGATGCAATTGCCCTAGCCAAGCTTCGTCTTCCACCATCCTCTCCAGTAATCCCTGATCTCCTTGCTAAATGGTGTGACAAACTTATTGTGGAAAACAATTATCCCATGGCTGCAAGATGGTGATTCTTTTTTGCTCATTGACTTTCATTCCAGTTTAAGGTTCATGTTAAAGTGAAAGCTGCTGAACTTTACATTTACATCCAGTCAGGTGGGAATGGGCAGTATGGAGGAGGCATTGGTTATATTGTCTCGGTGTACAGACCATCATTCAAGAAAAGCAGCTGCTGTGATTGCAGCCATGCTTGGACGAGGAGAAGTAGCTCAGTCATATGGCCTTCAAGTTATTGAGGATGCTTTACTCCACTTAGACTGGGATTTGGCCATGGATGTCATTCAAGAAATTCCATCTTTGAATGTAGGTGTTCCTAAATCATCTTGCAGTGTGTGATGGAACAGAATAGATTATCAAGCTCTTTCAAACTCAATTCATCTCATGTGGCTCTGTATTTAATTCATTGCCATAAATAGGAAGATAATTCCAAGCTATTCAGCACAAAAATTGTTTGATCCAAATGACAACTGCAGGGAAACTACTTGGTACTCTTATTGCAGTTGAGAAATGCAGGAAACCATCTGAAGTATAAAATTTTTTTCAGATTCTGTACTGTACGAAAAGACTGGATTGAGAGTGCAATATTCAAGGTGTCTCAACAAGTGTAGTAAATAGTCAAAATGGAATAACAAGAACAGTTTTTTGAGCTGTACTGTATAATTTGTGGCAACAGATTCATTACATCCTTGAGCATCGCCTGCCAGGTTGTGGGCCAGTGCCCTTGTGCAAAATCTCAGCTAGAGAAGGCTTAGTGTGATATTTTGCATGCAAAAATTAGAAAGTATTACCCATGTGTAGGGAGAATTTCACAGATTGTGTGAAAGTCAGCCACCTGGATCACAGAACATTTTGCATTAGTATCACTCTAAGCATGAATCAGCTTAACCCTTTCAGACCTGGCATCCATTCCAATGGACTTTGCATTTACATTGTGTCTATGGCAATTTCTTAGGATTCTTGTGACTTTGCACTCCATATTACACTACAATGGGCATAATTATGCATGGCTCAGTTCTATCAGAGGCTTCCTTTCATCCATTAGTTTTATAATATTCAGTTATTTAATTAAATGTTTAATATATAAGATATGGTATGATATGGTAAATTTATACAAAATATGAAAACTACATGTAAAGTATGAAAATTTTATTTACAATCACAAAAAAGCTCAAAAATGCAAAAAAGGATATTATTCCGATGGCAGCCTTAACCCTTTGAGGAGTGGGTTTTTTTAACGCCTAGAAGATCACCCATAGTGAATATATGGAGGACCGGAGGATGTCAGCCCGTATATATACAGGCATACTTGTCAAAGAGTTAATTCAAGTCTGAAAGGGTTAAGCAGTGCATAATGGAAGTGTTCTTAACCATCAGGCCCAAGGTGCTTGCAGATATCTGGCACTCTCTAGATTTTTGATACAATGTGTTGATAGCACAAAGTGGACGCATGGAGGTTAAGTGCAATGAAATGTAATGACATGAGAACTTCTTATAGCCATGCAGGTATGTGTACAGTTTCACCTGCCCAGCTTAAATGACTATCTTGTTATAACTTATCCCTGTCTCGGTTAAGAAAAACCTTCTTTTTTCCCCTCCTACCCCAACCCCCAACCCCCAGCTCTTGGCCACAAAAAATGGTTTTTCTTAACTGAGACAGGGATAATTATTGATGGTACCTTTTGGGACACCCCATATTTTTTTCTTCCTTTGGAACTAACAACCATTTGCATTATCATGATTTTCAATGGAGATTTAAGAGACCAAACAGGCATTTTCCTTTAAGGGAGATTTAATATTTTAAAGGGTCATAAATGAATAAATGAATGAATTTTCTGGTGAAACGAACTTCCAGGTTGATCCTCCTGACTCAACTTGTGCATTTAGACTTTTTCATCATTCTCTTCAGTTCTTTGGGTTCTGGGCCTTCCACTACCTTCTTATCAAGTTGCTGATCCTGTCTCATCAACTTTCTGATTGATGCCTTCAAGACCACTTCTTGGCCAGTTTTTTTTACCAGAAAATTAATTTATCATTCTTCTGGCATCCCATCCCTTTTAAACTCACAAGGTCCTGATCACCACCAAGTCTTAATGCAAGTAGCTAGGCATTACTTTGTTTTAGTAAGAAAAAAATGTGGGAAAGGAAAAAACACATCTTAAAACATTGATACAGAAAATAAAATGTGTTCTTATTAGCAACAGCTGTTGTTGCTCCAACTCAAATGGCAGCTGGGGACCATTGCAGCAATTTTTTGAATGGGAGTGGCCATTTTCATCCTGATAAAGCAAAAAACTCATGATATCATAACATATAATTTTATATATGCTGCAAAAGAGTTTGCAGCATATTCATTTGTGCCTTCATTTGTGCCTAAAAGCTTACTCAAATCAAGGCACTGCAGCCTGATTTACAGCATGTTGAGTCAATAGCTTGTTTTTTTTTTAGCCACCCATCTTGTCTTACATTGAAAATTTTTTCTGAATTTATTCCCAACTGAAGCATATTAAAGATTGCAAGTGAATTTTTCAGAAATATCCACCTGCTGTTAGCCTCTTGCAAAGAAAGAGAAGCCAGTAAAAACACTTGTTGGAACATACACAGTAGTAACTTCAACAATTTTTTTTTAGGTATAAGCATTCCAAGAGCAGCATATATTTACTTTTCACCTAGTACAGCTGCCTCATTTGACTTTCCTACTTCCATGTTTGACTTGGAAAACCTATATTATCAAAGTCTGAAGCCTCTTACTTATCCCTTTTGTCTCTTTCTCCCACTTTACTGCTATGATGGAATCAACTCAATCACAGAGTTAACACAGTTAACAATTAAATTAACCACTCACTTCTTATGGTGATAGAGTAGAGTCAGTTGACCCATTTGGACTTCTCAATGCATCTGTTGAGTTTGCTCAATCTGTCTGGATCCAAAAAGGGGCATGTATTGCCATATGTTGGTCAGCATATAGAACTTCATTAGCAAACAGGTTGTGCAAGGTACATAAAAAGCCACTATTTTCTTTTTTTGTCTTTCTTCAGGCTTGATTTTTTTTTTCAGGTAACTCTGACTTTGATACCATAAAAAATAGGGGGATTTTTATGGTGATGCAATTTTCACCTGGAAAGTAATGTCAAACAACTGCCTGCTATGAAGTTTGGAAGAACCTATTCTAGATTAATCATTGGTACAGACAAAAAGTTTCCTAATCAGTGGATAGATTGGCACAGAACCATGCCTGGCCTACTTGGAGCTCTTTACCTTCTGATTTTTTTTGTGAGGCTATTTGAAGGAAAAAGTGTATGGTCAGTAACCATTGTTTGAACTTGAGACCACCATCCATGGGGAAGTTAATGCCATTCCAGGTCAGATGCTCCATGCAGTTTGTGCTAAATTCAAGACAAGAATATAAAAAAAAAGCATTGGCAGAGAGGGCTGCTATATTGAATATTGCTTAGCAGAGTACAGTCATTATTTTGCAGTGAAATGTTTTCCTAAGAGTTGCCATTGAGTTATTATATGAATCCATGGCAATGTCTTCTTTTGTTCATGATTAGCAATAAAAGTAGAACATGACTACCCTCCACGAAGAAGTAGTAAGGCATAGGAAATTTCCTTCTGTTATGCAGTGGTGGAAGACCATGATTGAAGTGCACAGGAAGATATTCTCAACAGGAGAAGAATTCCTGAAGCTGGATAATATGGGACCAATGTTTAGTAGCCTTCTGGAGCATGCAAGGAAGGAAAGGACTTCTCTCCAAGAATCTCTGAAGACTTGCATGGATTTGGAATGGTCTATTCCAGATCTTTATTCAGAGGACACTCTGACTCTCCTTCCCCAGATGAAGGAATACACAGAGATTACTAAAGTCCAGAAAGGATTCAAAAAGGTGAATTACTTTCATCTCTGAGGTGACTTTGTTCTTTGTTTTTTACCCAAAATCTGAGGCTTGCCTTTATTACACAGTTGTGCCTGCAAGCCATCTGCAAGCTGACAGTTGCCATTCTCATGGAATCAACTGAAAACATAGTTCACTGCTTCAAACTTTTGCTGGATGATTCCAAAATGAAGGAAGGATCTGATCCATTGCTTCAAATGGCTATGGTAACCTCCATGGCATTTGCACTCACTCATCTTTGCAAAGGTGGGACTCACCATTGTGCTCATTCCTTGGAGCTTTTTTAAAAATGATCTTCAATTTACATTGCATTTTTACTATGTAGCTATCATTGTTTCTGGTCATTGAGGCTTGCAGTTGCAATCACAATAATGTCCCCACTTTGCAGGTAAAATTGCAATTGAAGGCTGCTCCAAGTACGTGCATTTGGGTCTCACATATGGGGCTGCCACATATCTGAAGTGGTTGAAAGGGCAAGAAGCAAGTCTGGAAGAGGACTCTGTGGACAGAATATGTGAAGTTTTAAATGTCCAGAGTGTTGATGATCTCACTGGCATTGAACACCTTGAATATCTCCTTCTCACATATGAGCACCTATTTGCTTTCATCACTAGTGTGGACTTTGAGGAGCAACTCCGAGTTCAGGCGTGCCAAGTTTTGAAGTCTTTTTTAAAGAAAGATCCTCTATCTGATGATGAGAGGAAGTATCTGGAGATTAAATGGGTTCAGTTCAGTTCCACTATTGAATGATCTTGGATGATCTTCATTCCAAATGTACTGTTAGGATATGATTGTCATATTGTCATACAGATATCCTCTTTGCCTGGACAAAAAGAGAACATCAGTTTCTGTTATTGAGATATGTTTCTGATGGAAATTTTCATCTTTGGATATCTGAACTTGTGAATATATTGAAAATGCAGCTACAAAACAAGGGAAAATCACCAAGCATTTCTTTGTTATATTCTAATATAGGTGCTCTAGGCCACGTGCAGATTTCGATAATGAATTTGTACTTGATCACATAGTAAAATTGATTAGATTGAAGTTTTTGGTATTAAAAGAAACCTTTGTTGATAGGATCTATAACCAATCAACAACATATTCCTCATTTAATATAAGCTCATTGCCAAAACAAGAAGCAATCCCTTAGATGGAAATTACTTAGCCATGTAATCCTGGGCAACTAACAGCTAGCACCTTAATGCGACAAAAACAACTCGAGTCCTTTCCCACGCTTCGACATTCTGATCCCTCGCTCATCTTCGCCGCCTCTATCATTTTCCTCGGCATTTGACTAGACTCCTATTTTCACTGGGATAACAAGCGGATCTCGTCCTTCGTCTCGGGAAATACGCTGCAGCCTCTATATACCGTCTCTTCTTTTCCCTCTCAAGAAGAATTTTAAAAAAAGCATACCACGCTCTTGCCTACCCTCACTGGACTGGACCCATGCTTGCTTGAGGTCACTGCTCTGCTCCATGTCTCTCGCATCCTTTTGCTCCAAAAACATTTCGTCAGAACCATCATTCACGAGTCAATTCATACCACATGTAGCCCTCTGTTCACTCAAGTTCTTCACTTTTTCCAGTCTGATTCACAAAAGTGTCTATTTCATACAATGTCCCAAAAGTCTGGAACCATAGGCAGAGTATTTTCTTCATATTTCAGATAATCTAAGTTGAAGAAATGGCATTATCCAAGGATGAGTGAGAAGAGGTTGTGTCGCAGTGTACCTGGGGAAGCAATAGGCACCGCCAAGTAAACTTATTACAAAATGCCGTAATAGGCAGCACCACCTACCATCTACGGCGTTTTTAACTTGAATCAGTCTATTAGGACTTGGAAATAAGTAGACCACCCCGCTCATTTTTTCCTGGGGCCACCTTATCCTACGACGCACCTTTCGAGAAATTATGTTTCTTTTCGATTAAGTTCCGACCGTATTCCGATTGTTGAGGAGGAAATAGGTTCACTCGAGACCAAAGATTCTCTCATACCTTTCTCTCTCGCTCCGAGAATTCTCTTCTTTCTCCTACTATGGAGCGGCATGATGGAAGATGCTGAGCTACTGGGCCAAGGTAGTGAAGACCCCAAAGGCGGGTCTTCGAGTTCGGACGCCCTATGAGTACGACAAATTCATCAAACGCTACAAACACCAACTTGAGAGGAGTTACCGCTCCGGTTTGAAAGAGCTGGAAGATGGAGTCCATTTCTCAGACTTCTACGACTGTGAACTCGAAACGGCGGACTTCCTATCACCGCCCGTAGTCCTGGTCATCGGGTCCAAGTCGACAAACAAGGATGTCTTCATGGCCAGTCTCTTGGAATATCAAGGATCGGAAATCCAGAGCAACGACGACTTCTTAATTTTGACATTTGGGAATCAAGTCCTCGAGGAGGTGGGTGCGGCATCCTTTTTTGGACCGGGACCTCAATCTTCAGCCTTTTTCAAGAACCTGGATTCATGGGTAGGCTTCAATATCCGGGGCCTGAAACTTCCTTGCCGAGCCCTGAAGAAGTTCACTGTTGTCGCATCACCGGACATCCCAGAAGACGAATCCTGTCTTCATCGACATGTTTTGGTTCCTCTCACGAACTTTGCTCGAAAGGCAGACCTGATCATCTTCCAGCTGAATCTGAATGACGTCCTTGTTTCCCCCGGACCTCGGTTGGTGTTGGAAACAATCCGATTTTGGAAGGAGAGACTCAGTATTGTCTTGAAGTGCTCAACGACAGACGATTCAGGGAACATGGGACTCAGGTTCTTTGCTTGGAATTGGAATTTGAGCAAAATTCTCCGATCCGACACCAGGCCTCTTATCTACTGCAACCTTTTCGAGAACAAGGGGGATTTAGGAAAATGTTTCCAATTCGATGAAGAGCATCTTTATCAGATCCTTTATGACCTGGATCAACACAAGTGTCATCGGTTAACCTACGAACTTGAACTCCGGGGCAAACTCGCCATCAACCTAGCTTGTCTTCAGTATCACATGAATAAATTATTTGCAACCATTCCCGAGAACGAACTGGAGGCGAAGAAAATCAAGTTTCTTCATGACCTGGATTGTCATTACATGAAGGTTGCAACGAGACACGGGGATCTCAATCCCAACTTCTTCCCCTCTGTCCCTCATTTTTGGGACATTTACCTCTATCGAGATTTGAAGAGGCTGGCCGATTTAGATCTGGGGAAAGTTGCTCCTGCCAAGAGGGTCGTCGAGCGAGAAGTACCAAACTTCAAGAGTAAATTCACCATTATTTTATTTAAATGGATCATTCAAATATTGAAAACCTTAACCTTTTTGCTTTTCTTCCGTAGGCCAGTTACTGGCAACATTTCCGGACCTGAAAGAGCCGGAACTGAGTCCGGAATGCAGGTTGGATGAAGCAGGAGAATGCCTCAACGAACTGGTGAAAAAGGTGCAAAAAAATCTGGTGGAAAACATTTCACAATGCCGCACGTTCTTTGTCTCATGTTCTGACATCGGAATGATTGCTGATGGCATTGCAGGTGGAGAGCCTGAAAGAGGGGACAAGGAAGGTACCATCGATAGCCAGGAGATTCGCTGACCAACTGACTCTTCCGCCGGGATCTGTCTTACGAGCTGTCTCCCTTGCCACTGCTCAGGTTTAACTAATATTTCAGTCATTGAGTCGCCATGGGTGTTGAGCTTAGCGGTGGATTGCGTTTTTTTTTCTCTTAAGAACTTCGATGCTTTAGTGCATTAATACGTCGTGTTCAAGTTGTTGACTCGTAGTGATGCACATACCTGGAGCACCGTCAATTGAAACTTTAGTTGCGATTGGGATGTGGAAGTGTCCTTATTCCTATATGGAGTTATGAATTCGGAGAAGTGGGTCGTGTCTATTAAAGCGTAAGGGCATAATCGAAAGTTTTATTGACCCTAGAGGTGGAGTAAAATCTGTACATGGTATGACTTGACCGAGGAGGGTCTTTTGGATGGTGGGTTCTGGGAAGGTGGCGGATCCGCTTCCATATCACTAAAAATAATTTGCGAAGGAGGGTGTGGTGCGCACGCAATACGCAGTTGCAAGGATAGCTTAGAGAAAATTGACATGAACTGCAGGAATCTAATAGGAAAATGTCGTTCCCTTCATTCTGGAACGAGAAATACTGTACATATGCTTCACAAACGGAGACATTCTTCATGCATGCGCATAATCAGACTTGGAGGTGTACTGTTGGCCTACCTCTGTTCCCTGGCAGAGAGACGACGCAGATATGGAAGAACTTCCAATTGCAATGCACCTATGGATGTTGAAGAAGAATCAGCTGGATTTGCCGGAGAAAATTCCAGAACGTCTGGTCGGGCCACGTTTCAAACGTCCGACGACGCTCATTCACGTCCCTTTGGAAAAAGACAGCCAATATCTGAAGACGATCGCAGTTAAAAGCAGCAGGACAACGGATTCCTCGTCAGCGGAGAGCCGAGAATTGGGTAAGAAGCCGGCTCGAAAGAAGAGAAAGAACGTGGGAAACAACCGGAAAATGAAGGAAGGAAAGCCGGGGAAAACATTAAGGAAGTGTCACTCCTCTTATGAACCTCAATCCCCGTCTATGGCTTCAAAAGCGAGTTCCCCGAGAGGCAGCCGAGTTAATGGGGAATCCGTTTCAGCTGGAGCATGGGAATCCCCAAGGGCAGAGGGAGTGTCGAAGCCACTCGGTGTACCTAATAAACCCTGGGGGTCTCGGGTAATCAGCGAAACATCCCCAGTTGCTTCTGAACCTTCCACCATGACGGAGACGAGCACGTCCCGCGCTGATTCTGCTTCGACTCTCACGGACTTGCCAAGCACTTCCGAGACCACAAAATGCAGCAGTTCTGTCGTCGACACCTCTACAGATTTGGAATCGACGGAACCAACCCAGAGCCCAGTGTCTGACGAAAACAGAGCATCATTTGCTGCTGAAGCGACTTCGGCTGCTGCAGCTCTAAGCGAATCGATAAGAAGCGCTGTCCCTGCTGTGAGCAGAACTAAAGAGCGGAGTTTTGCCTCAGAGATGTGCAAGGAAATTTGTGCAACATTCACACCTAGCTCAGCAACTGAAATTAATACTGTATTCGCAAAGAGTGGAACATCGAAACCAAGTGCTCTTTCGGAAGCAACTGAATTAAACTTCACGGTTCCGTGTACTGCAGTTGGAATGTGTTTTCCTATCTCCAGCGTTGCCATGTCCGACGTTACTACTGCTCCCATTTCACAAAGTAGAAGTGAAGCATCTTTCACTTCCACCATGTCAACAACAAGCACAGCGAGCCCGTCAGGAGTGAGTGTATCTACTTCAAAGTGCATTCCATCCTCGAAAGTAACATCAGCTTCTTCAGCATCGGGAGTAAGTGGAGCTTCAACCGTTTCGTCCACGGGTATGACTAGTACAAGCATGAAATCCATCTCGGCGGTCAGCGGAGCTTATGGAAGCACTAACAGGTCATCTGGTGCTTCAGATCGAGGTAGAGCTGCTGCAAGAGCAATGCCAAGCAACTCTGGATCATCTAACTTCACCACATCCGTGACACCGACGAGTGCTGCAAGGACAAATTCGGAAATGGGCTCGAAGGCAACATCAACGAGCGGACCGAGAACTTGGTTTACGTCCGATACGAGCTCATTTGCTCCATCCGATGTCCATGGATCCATTCTATCTACAAGTGGGGCAGCTACCTCTGGGTTAAGCTCTTCATCGACGTACTCTGCCGAACGAACGGGATCAGATATCGATTCTATCTCGGCGTCTTCGAGCGAACCCAGCACACCTTTCGCTTCATCAATTGGTATGAGTAGGTCCATGATGCCTTCAAGTGCACCAACTGCGTCAGAGCCGAGTGCTTCGCTTGTGTTGTCAAGTGGAGGAATGACCCCAGAAGTCAGCTCGATGGCACCAAGTGCAACTGCAAGTTCGGAGATCAGCACAAAGGGTATA